ACACACACACACACACACACACACACACACACACACACACAAAGCACAAAACGACATTAGCCAAAACAGAAGAATATGTAAAATGCTGACCTGAAGTGACATTCATACATTTCGGTATGGAGTACTTCACTGGAAATTCACCTTGTCATGTCATTTTGAACTTCCTAAAGGCCTCCGAGAGCTGTGATCGAACGATTTTGGTTAGATGTCCACCAGTGATATTTTCGGGAGGGAAACGAGCGTTGAATGAGTGAATTAAAATTCTCAGTGCAAGAATTTAGCTATTCAAATGATGTGTCTCCAGAGCCAACCTTTCCTCGTACCATGGCTCCGTCGGTTACGACGGACAGGCGGATCTGGTGACGAGAATGAGTTGTCCCGGCAAACTCGTAGACCAAGAGATTATCAAGGTAAGAGAGTGAATCCCTCGTATAGGCCTTATACCAAAGGCAATCCCTCATAAGTTATTTTTAGACATGGTACCCAGTTCTTCCGCGGATGTTACTCGCGCTTTGCGTGGATGTGTTCGTGGGGGATTTGTTTATGTTCCGTTTAATTCCGTTTCATAGTGAAGGAAAACCTCCAAAACTGTGGGGATTTTTTTTTAGATCTTTGACATTTTGATATGAAAAAAGCAATGGAGCTTCGGCTCTCGCTATGTCAGTTTTAATACCGGTTTAAAGAAGAGACAGACATTCGCTGCACATACAATTTTCAACCCACAAATCTCGCAAAAATTTAGATTTCTTCAGTTTGTCTATCACTGTCAGAGTTAATCCCAAACAGAATATGGTAAGACAGCGTCACAATCGGAAAAAGGTCGGCCGTTATAGTTCACGTTCTCTCGAATACGCAGAATTTGACCATTCCAAGTTGTTGTTTTTGCGAGGAACGACAAAGAAATGAACAAAGAGTTAAAACGCAGGCGTACACAGCCACTGTAATCGCTGCCGTCGCCGTTGTAATTTGCTTATTAAACTCCCTGAGATCGAATGAAAGGCAAAAGAATGAACAGCTAAACAAGCGCAAAGGAAACGAAAGCCCAGCCGAACTGAAAGGCGGCTGAGGATGTGGAAAACATCCATGCTATGAAACGTCCTTTGAAAATCAAAATACCAGATGACTTTTCGCTGTTCCCGCCATTTCGTCTTAGGTAGTTGCGAGAAAGTCACTTGGGGTGTCCACGCATCGGACGATCGCGCGAGTAACATCCTCGGAAGAACTGGGTACTATGTCTAAAAATAACTTGAGAGGGATTACCTTGGATATAAGACCTATATGGGAGATTCACTCTCTTACCTTGATATTCTCTTGTGTAGACTGATTACGAGTCTCATTATTAGATACGTTTGTCAATAGGCGTGCGATGTGCATGATGAAATCACTTTTTTTCTTTAACCCAAGATAACTACGGCACTTGCCAACCTTACGTGCAAGAGATCTTGATTCTAGAAGATGTGACAAATATTGACGTCACGCAAATCGCGTTAGGGAAACATTCATACCCACTGTATTCCAGTGAACAAGACCTTCTTGGAAGCTTAACGTTTTTTTGTTGTTCCTGTGCACCACCTTCATAGTTGGTAACTTCCGCTCTGCAAGGCTTGAAAACTGTTGAACAATATTAGTAAAATCCAGACCTGTCTGGGTGGGTGGTTTGTATAGCAATAAATGCAATTTTTCTGAATGCAAGAATTTACAGTAGTCCGAAAAGCTAATCAGATGCAGCTGCACGGATCATTGCTAAGTGAGCTGCTCCCAGAATGTTTATCTTGCCCATCTGATGTTCGCATTGATTTACAAGTGCCGGCTAACACTCCCAAAGATGCTTCCGTCCAGTTTCTTCTTGGAGGACACTGTAATTGACCAAAATGGTTCGGAGTAAATAATGTATGAGAAAATATATGTTCTCAGGGTATGTAACTCACACTGTTGTTGTGGTACTTGAAAGAATGAATATTTATAATATTAGTCATGTGGTGCACTCAGCATCACTCTATTTGAGGTCAATGATGTAAGTCATAACAAACTGCGCGGACAGTTAATTGTACAATGACATTGTCATAGTACACGAAACAATACATTGTTTGAATGCGCGGGCGCCATTTTTTAATGAAATGAGCGAGATGAAGGGACGAAAGAGCTGATAAGAGCTTTGTCTGCCATCCAACTTCTGCCGTGATCTGACAGCAGAAAAAAAAAAATCTATCAGATTTTTGTAACTTAATTCTTTTGCAGAAGTATCATACCCAGACGAGGTTAAGAGTAGTTTTTAAGAATAATTGATAATTTTAAATAACTATTAAATAGAGTATCTAACTATACTTTGGTGGTAACATGAATATTATTATGTGACTGAGAAAATTACTTCATCGTGATCGGGTGAAAGCAGAGAAATTTATCGTTACTTAATAATTTGCACAGCGGGGCAAATTATTTTATAGGTGCGTTTGTAATTTCTCCAGCCATATAATAAATAAGTAATCGTATGAAAGCTCGAGCAATGAAGGATTTAAACTACTCGTGATATCTGGAAATTCTGCCAATAGCACTCGCCTAAAGACTGGTACAATTTTGGAAAAATTTTCAAACATCACGAAATGTTGTAAATTCTTCATTGCATTCGCATTTATAGAGGGTCGTACAGGGGTATTCTCGTGATGCGTGATTAGCTGATTTTATTTTCCGTGAAACATGAGTTTAGGAAATTATGCTTCGTGATCCGTGACCTGAAGGTTTTGCGTGACCTGTAAAGAACTTGAATTATTGGCCGATGTTCGTGTTTTCGCCACTCCTATCTTACGTGATTTGGAGACGCGAGTCCTCCGTCGTTAGAGCTAGTCGTCTATCGAGAGTGACTTAGGTATGCGATTTGCACTATGGAGGCTTAACTTAGCCTTTCACGATTTCGCTTTCCTCAAACACTCTTTCTAGTGTAAGAGTAGGCTATGACAGGAATATCTTACCTGCTTATTTTCGTGATCCGGGAAAACGAAATTTTTATATAAGTGTTCCGTGATCCTCTATTTTTTCCGTTCATGAACCGTGCCAGACACCCCCCCCCCCCCCCTCCTCCCCTTTACGACCCTCTTTATACGATTACGTATACTAATTGTACATACAACTAAGTTATCGCTAAATAGACAGTAAGTAAATTCAAAAAGAAGCTTGCTTTGGTATCGCCTTTGAGGTATAATTCCATTAGACCCCGTGGAAATATATAGAAACTGCGGTTGTTAACATAGTTCTGACTTTTTTCCTGAACATTTTCAGGTTTTTTTTATTCAGGATTTAGGAATTTTTTTGACTTAGATTGATTTGTAGATACATAGTTAGCGATATAAAGTTTGGTAATGCCTACTAACAATGACTACTGTGACTTTTTCATGGTACTAGACGGCGTTATATCAAGCCGATAGTAATTTTAATAGCCAATACTGTAATTATATACGCTCATCGCTGGAAAATCGTAGTTGGAAGCGCATAACAATAAATAAAATATTTGTAGGGGGTGATACTTAGTGTTTTATAACAGACTGCAATTTTATCATAATCCTAGAATAATTACATATCAATAAATCAGAAAATGAGACACGTCGCGTCATTGTCTTTTTATGTGAGTTAAAGATAAAAGAATCTTTTGAGTCAAAAGGATTGTTCTCATTTCACTGAATCCGACAGATTAACTGAGGGTATACTGCTCAGTTCATTGGAAACAATAAGTGATTTCAAAACACTCGGACAGAAAAAAAGGAGTCAATCCATTGGGGTTTTATGTATAGGTATGTTATTGTACATAAAAGTTTTTACACCTGGCCAAAACAAGCGAAGGTTGTGCCAACCAGCCGTCGTCAAGAATGAAAAACAAACGAAAAAAGGCAAAAACATTGCATTACAGAACACTGCGGAAGCCCGGGGGTAACTCCCATATAAAAAAGGCCCGTCGTACCTTTCAGGCGCTAAAAAAGCGGGTTTGGCAACCTTTTAGGGTGGTCAGTCTCTAAACGCACGGTCCACAAAGGGTGCTTTTCAGGTACGTCCTTTTAGGGCATTGGGCCGAAAAAAAATGACAAGAGAAAATGTGTTATTTTAAAACTGGTACCTCTTGGAGGCGAAAAGATTTCAAGACACGCCCCCAAAAAGCAAGAAAGATCTTCGTACCTCTAAAGGGTTCTTTTCAAAATTTCTGACGAGCACCCCCGTCCTTTTCATGAGGGAGGCCCCCTTTCGGGTACAGGGGTGTCAAGTCCGAACCTCCGAAAATTGCTGGGGGAGAAATGTACTATACTTTTCCACACAACACGTGTTACAGAGCATTAGACAAGCTGTTTTTAATCAAAGAATACGTAGGAAGAGCTATAATAGCAGAAAGGACTTCTTAACTTTTCGCTAGTCTTTGAGTTCATTATGGCAAGTTTTGTTTTCGGCCTATAATTCATATTGCATGGTGTGAGGTCTACTCCCTCTCGGTGACACGATGACTTGAGTATACGCGCCGCAAAACATTTGAAACATTAAGTCTGCATTTTTACAAAGATTATATTAAAATTACTTGTGCCAGCAGCAATACCAGTGCGATGTTTACCACAAACAGAAACGAATTTTAAAGTCTTCGATAAGCTGTCTTCCATTCCAGAGATACAATCCATGTACACATGCTTGACACGTCGTATACAATTTATCCTAGGTTTGTAACAAAGCGCACTAAGTTGCCAAGTTAACACAAAAACGAGAGTGGACTGTTCATTCCATTTGAAAGACAAGGAATTGCCCTAAGGTGGTACATCAAAAACAATGTTAGCTGCACAACACATCTTTTCCAGTGTCTCTCATTTTTTTGTTGCTTTGATCTGTTGGTACGTCACGTCATGACCGTGATAACATGCACGTTAAGAATACAGCTACACGTAGTTCTACATCTCTCCACATTGTGATATAGCCACTGGTAACGTTGGCCTGTTGTTCGGTCCCACAGGAACATTCTACAAAGCAAAAGAAAGGAAGAACAATATTCTGTAGGAGTTTGCAAGAAACAACAGCAACAACAACATCCACATCAACATCCAGTCAAATTACAAAACAATAAAAAAAAAATGGCAGTTGTACAGTTAATTTTTAACTATTAATTAACTAAGGCACCTGTACCTCGATTTTTCTCATGACTAGAAGACCATCGACAACTTTACCTGCAATGATCACAAAAGGATTGAAGATTAACTTAACGTTAAAAAAAAGTAATGGTAAAAAAATGACACTTGTCAGTAAAATCATGCACATTGCACGAGAAGTGAAAAGGGGGTAAGGGGCTGCAAATTTCATACTGCTTAGTAAGCTACCAGATAATAGCTGTAACGATACTAGTGTGTTACGTATTGAAAGCCAACATCTATATACGTGTATCCTCTCATCACCGTGGTCAAAGTTACATTATCGTGAAATAATTACTTCAGACACCAGAGGGCAAGAGCTTAGTGTCCATTAGGCTTGATTTCCGCCGCTCTCTCGGGTCCGGCCGCATTCCTCCCCGAGGGCTCAAATTTTCCCGAAAAAGCGGCTGGGAATCAAGCCCAAGTGTCCATATTATGGAGGAGTCCATACTACAGAGGTAAAAAGATTACATGAATTCCAGTTTCTCCACTGCAAGGTAAACTAAGTCTTTCTAACATGTAGAGGTGTCTAGGTGTCAGTTCTATAGACTGAGGTAAGAATACGTGAATGAGAGTTCTGGGCTGTGGGACAAAGCAAACTGTATGTAATATAAGTTATAAAGGCGTCCAAATTACTGGTGTCTGTAAAGTGAGGTTTCACCGTACAAGGTAAGGAAAATCATAGTTTACATGTACAGAAAAGAAGTAATGACATATAAACTTGTACAGATACCAAGTTCATATTGCTTCTTAAAAAACACTCTCAAAGACTTACCAAACACAACATGCTTTCCATCTAGAAAATCGCACTTTGCACAAGTTATAAAAAACTGCAATTTTGAAATACAATATGAAAAGAATAATCATCCCCTGCTTACACGAGCACTCGTTACAAGGAATGCTAAGGGATTCAAATGTGTGATGCAAAATTAAACAATATAAATATACATGCTCGTAAATTAAACTCGTGCTGCAGTTGACTATCAGATGACTGAATCAATAGAATAATGACACTGATGAGCGTGCTACTACAGTACAAAAACACACACAACATGTATATCTGAATGATACAAAAGAACTAACTTAGGAGAATCGAGTACATGTATAAATCATGTACTTGGTGCCAGATCTTTGAGTGGTAGCATGGTTAAAGTTGACTTTGTCATGATTACTGATTAATTTATCAATTCACAAGGAGCATCCTGCTATCACAGCACCCTGGCTTGTACATTTGTATCATTTGTATGTACATGTGTGTACTGTTCAGTTCATCTGGAATAGACCATATCCTTTTTTGGTATTCTCGGTAGTGGACTGGAACTACAATCGTGGACAAAAGCCCTTGGGACACTTATGTAATGTAACAAATTATCTGTGTTTTAGAACTGAAGTTTGAAAAAAAATGCTGCTATATCCTTTAAAAATGCGTTGCTGACCCCCCTCCCGACCCAACACAATGTTGAAAATCAGGTGAAATTGCAGGTACTAGTTTTCAACATTGTATGGGGGGTGGGGGGCGAGGTTAGGCAGGTGAAGTTGTATTCGCGTCTGGCGTGTGCTCAAAAGCGCCAAAAGTGCCAATTTGTCCCAAGACTTTTGTCCATGATTGTACGTTGCGATGGAGCCTCAGACAGGGGAATATCATTACAAACAGATAAATTTGCATTTGAAAAGACTCCCTGCATTAGCCTCAGTTGCATGCTAGTTCCAGTCCAAGACTGGAAATATGAATATGACCTATTGGGTATGTTTGAGTTCTGCTGGCCTGCAGTATTAGACAAATATTTCATGACATTTATGAATACCCTGTCCTGTATAATTTACAATCATGTAAACAAAAATATACTATACCATAAAAATGTGTGCCTAGGACAGGGGTTTCATTAACTTTTTCAGCAGGATGACAGCTGGTTTTTACAGGCAGGCAAAAATGTTTTAACCAGTTGAACTTCTTTATTTATGGGAAAAACTTTCCTGTAGATGGTCAAACCTTCCTCTCAGACAATTAATTTGCCCAGTGTCTGGCCCTTAATGAAATCCCTGCTAAGATTTGGAAAAAACTGTGGAATATCTTCAGGACATGATCACATTCTGCCCACAGATTTGTACACGGTTATGGAGTGGACAGTTGGGCATTTTATAAAGAATTGTTTTTAAGTATACCTGACATCCATTTGAGTTTGGGCCGCTATTTGCCTAAAACATGATACCAACAACAACAGTAGATCAATAACAGAGATGAAGAACAGTCTAAGATATGTATATCAAATGTATACTCTGTACAGAGAGTACACAACAGCATTCTGAATGTTCATTTTCAATTTCAAAGGCCAAGGCATAAACCAAAGGCATAATTATTATAAAATACTATCCAATTTACTTACAGTAATAGACTTAATATGACATTGGCTATTAAGATCTTTTATTGAAAAACAGCTTCCAGTCATTCACGTGACTTACATGTACATGTATGTAATTTATTATAAGCTTTTATATGTGTTAAAATACAATGGAAACTCAGATAAGATATATAAAAAGGGTTAGGGTTAAGGTTAGCCATTTTGCTCTTTGAAAGACAAGTCTATTTTCTATTGATAACATCAGTTGTACAAACTTAAGGTGTTTTTGACTTAATGAAACTTGTCATGAAGTTTGAAAGTGCAATTTGTTCAAGTGCTAAGAATACAATAATTTGGGGGCCAAAGTTTCCTAACTTTAATCAATAGGAATAGTCATGCCTTCAGAATCATAACTTACAATGTGTTGTTCCAAAAATATCCATACCCCTCCCACAGACGGTTTTGTAGCTTGAACTGGCCCCACCCCTCTGGAAATTCCATTTTAGTGTCATACTTTCCTTTAAAAAAATGGGCTTTGGAAACCCCCCTCCCCCTTGGAATTTCCATTAATCTTCCTTGGGGTGGGTACAGATATTTTCTAGAACTACACAATAAACCCAATGTACACACAATGTAGAACATGGTCCATGCACATGAATTAATACATACTTGGTCATGCACATGCTTTCACGTAGCTACCAGCTGGTCATCACCTCTTCCCAGGAAGGTACATGGATGTACATGTACGTGTGTTGTATGACCGCCATGCACCACACTTACATGTATATATTGTAAGTGTACAATACAAACCGTAGAGATGGTCAGGAGTAACTAAAAGGAAGCTTGCCTTTCACTCACCCTGACTAATCAGTAAATTGATGTGTAAATTACATGTATACATGTATCACCATTAGCCCCTCTGTGACATACAGCATACCCACCATAGACAGAAGGCCTGGTCCATCATGTTTTTGTTTAAAATTTTCATCTGGGAAGGCCACATCTCCATATATGCTGGCAACTCCTGTACCATCACCCTAAGGAAGCACAAATAATACATGTAAGCAATGTCACATTTGCAAAGAGTCACTCATGCCATTCCACAGTCTCTTGGACAGGAAATTATATGTAGTGTTACAGTTACAAAGTGCTTATCCACTGCTTCTCTGTCTAATTTTTGATTGAAGTGATTTGAAACTCACAGTTAATGCAAATGTTGATCAGCCTGACCTGTATCCAGGCACTCATAATCCTAGGTGCTACTGTTGATGCAAACATTTTTATCCTCTCTACAGCATTTTGACATCTTTTCATGCAGATGTGGTTTACAAAACAAGTACTTGAAGGTGACTGTAATTGAAGTACAATCTATCTGCACTGTGTTTATGATGTGCTGTTGTTTTGTATGTGTTCCTGTTTCTTTGTTAAAATAGAAATACTATATACAATATTACAATACTACAATATTACTGAATACAATATTACTGTTAAGTTACAAAATTTGTAACAAAGTTTATTGAAAAGATAACAACTGCTAGAATCCTTAGATAACAAATTGTAATCTTAATAACAATTATATAACTATTTGTTTACCTCTGTAATGAAACAATACCCTTAGATTCATAATTAAGTTATACAGTATGTAACATGTGGCTAGTTGTTAATACATGTAGTCAAGAGTAAAAGCCTCCTGGTAAGCTACATTCTTAGAAATGTAGTCAAGAAAATATATTCACATGACTGTATATAAAATGTAAACATAAAACTGAACTGATGTGTCCTCCAAACAACTTTTAAAACTTACTTTAACAAAATCCCCTCCTTGGATCATGAAATCTTTTATTACTCTACAAATAAAAAAAGTCAAAAAGAAAGAAAAAAAAAGCTGATAAGTATCAAAATTGGTTGTTCTAATATACATGTGCAATGTACAAAGTTAAGGAGCACAATTACAAGCCAGTAGTAAATTTTAACTGGTTCTTGTCACTGTTTAGTAATTTATACTTATTTGTCAACATGTCTAGTGTATTTTGTAAGATCATTTAAAATGTATTAACCATGCAGTTTTTTCCCCTAATATTATGTTAGCATTACATATAATATG